AGCTCTGTTATGTCTGTCCTTGGCAGGTATAATAAAGCTAACAGACTTTTTGGTAATTTTCAATTGCAGCTCTATTTCGCAATCTATTTGGCAATACTGTTGTTGTAATACTTCAACTAGCTATGATACATTAATTAACACTGTTGCAGAGAAGAAGAGCAGGTTTTGTTACATGTCAGAAAAGCACTTCTGTACAGTTGTAAGTAACGTATGTTTCATAGTTTTGATCCCCTCTCCTCATCTGTCTTTTTCAATCTCATTCTGTGTAGCACATTGACAGCAGGAATCACATCCAATGCTAATGAGAACCGAGAAGCTCAAGTTTCATGTTTTACGTCTTGTTGGGAGTCTTTTATGTGGCTGGTTGAGCTGTAGTTGAATGTCTTCTAAAGCCTGTGTGGTTTTAGAAATCTTATTCTTTGCTGAATCACATTGTACGTTTGAGTAGACCGTCATGTGTGGATAAAGGTTCTAAATTAACTTGCTCAAACTGTTCGAAAGTGTTTGGTCCAATTGACATGCTACGTGAAACACAGCCCTTATAGACGGCTCTATCTAAGGACAATTATCAGTAAAACTGTTTCATTCAAAATAACATCCCGCACACTGACCAAAGTGTGGAACTTTGCTAACTTGTACCATATTGAGCACCGAAACTAAACCAGGTGGTGTTGCACATGGGTGTGACAGTACAGCCTCTCTGCAGCCTATTCTATGAAGACAGTTTTAAAAATCAGCTTATTAACATTAACACCTCACAATTCTATTCAGTCAAACACAGTAAAGTTGGTGTTTATGGAGTTTGGTTCTGCAAATGTAGGTTTTTTTTGCCTTTGTTTTTGCTGGCCTTCATGTCTCCACCCATTTCGGGGAAGTGGTTGTGACTGTGTATGTTAATAAACGGGCTGAAATCACACCATGCCTGCTGGGAATGTGCCAAAGGGGGAGGTTTAAAGTGACTGACAGCTTTGTGGAGAATAAAAGATACTGCATTATGAAATACACATGAAACTTTCTGATTAAGAAATATCATAATTAATTGCAATATAAAACACTTTTGGTAAAAATTTGCGAGGGTCTTTGTATTTTGCTGCCATATAGCAACAGTGTGTGACAAACTGCTATGCAAACAACAAATTTACTCCCATTGTATGCATTGTAGATTGCAGTGCTGTTGTCACATGCTGTTGCCATATGGCAACAATTAGATTTGATCGTTTTATCTAAAATTATGAAAAAGACATTGAAACCTCCTACAGGCTGCACCAAGACATGATCAGATGAAAATGTACCATGTTATTAAGAAACCCTTCAGTTCCCCAGTTTATATTGTGATCAGGCAAAAAAAAAGAGTGATTGTTGCCATATGGCAACACCGAGCAGTAAAGGGTTAATAGTGCTCTTTAGGTACATAAGGTACTACATATTTTATTTAGCTGGAGTGTATCAGTGGTATAAAAAATATATGGGCCGGCAACTGCAGGTGGTCTGCTCCTCTGCCATTGCTCTAGGCCGTATGTTGGCTACAAGTAGATGCCAGTTTGGGCAGGTTCAGGCCTGGGGAGATAATAATTATTAGGTCATACCCTAATAATGTTGTGGATTTTGCTACAACAGAAACACTATTGTTATTTCATAGGTTTCACATGTTAGCTCATTAACTAATTATTTCCTGAATTATATTCAGGATAATGCCTTGTATTCTTTTTGTGAACAACTTTTAAAACCGTGTTTTTTTTTTTTTTGTTTAATTGTGAACATTTTGACGATTCAGTGAGAGACTGGGAGAGGCAGAAGAAGAAGAGAGGAGCAGACAAACACAGGCAGAGAGAGAATAAGAGACAGAGAGTGAGAGAGCAATTGTGAGAGAGAGAGAAAGAGAGGAAGGGAGAGAGTGGCTGCATAAAGAGATATCGTACGTGACATCATGGTAAATGGAGAAGCTTGTGTTTAAATTCTGCAGTTGTGTGTGTGTGTGTGTGTGTGTGTGTGTGTATGTGTGTGTGTGTGTATGTGTGTGTGTGATTTGGTTGTAAAGTGTGTGAAATGCTCTCTAGCCTCTAGCGGGATCAGGGGAAAGTCTCTGATTCTCACAGTAAATTTAACCTGCCATGTTCACGAACAGCCATCCTCATTCAGGTTTAATAGTTTATGTAATCCGCACTGAAGAAATGGAGGGAGGCCGGAGCAGAGGACGAGAGACAGGCAGATAGATAATGAGAGAGAGAGAGAGAGAGAGAGACAGTGAGAGGAGACACAGAGAGGTTGAAACGGATGTAGAAGGCAGGACAAGAAAGAGAGCCAGTTGCGTGTTGTGGGCAAAACAAAATGGACATGTGGACATGTTTGTGCACATGTAGCCAGTCTAAGTGTGTGTGGTCAGTATGTTCAGTCTGGGTGGTTTTATGTGTGCGTCTGCTGTCTGGCTGCATCTGCGTGTGTGCGTATATATGTCAGCACTGTGTGCGCCTGTGTGTGTGTGTGTCTGTGTGTGTGTGTGAGCTTTCCCTGCTCGTTGGCCCCAGTTGCCAGCTGTCAGTCGCTGGGATTATACCAGTTGCAGATTACATTGATTGCATATATATGGATGTTTCAGATAAATATCTTAAGATGACCACATCATATACCTTTTTAAAATTAAAACACTTAACGCAGTTTGTCTAATTTTTTTGTTGTAAAATGCAATGTATAAATGTAATGGAAATATACATAACATAATTAAGTCATATACATCTATCAGTATGTCTATATATACAGTCAGGTCCATATCTATTTGGACAGTGGCACAATTTTAGTCATTTTGCCTCTGTATCCCGCAATGGATTTGAAATGAAGCAGCCAAGATGTGACTGAAGTGTAGACTTTCAGCTTTAAAGCAAGAGTTTAACAAAAATATTGCATTAACTGTTGAGGAATTATAGCCATTTTTTACATAGTCCCTCCATTTTCACAGGTTTAAAAGTAATTGGACAGTTGGCTGATAGCAGTTTCATGGCCAGGTGTGGCCTGTTCCCTCATTATTTCATGACAGCTTAAGGCGATAAAAGGTCTAGAGTTGATTCTAAGTGTTGAATATGTATTCGATAGCTGTTCATGGAAACTCTCAATGTGCAGCCCACAGAGGTGTCGATGCAAGTGAAGGGGGCATCATTAGGCTGAAAAAACAAAACAAACCTTTAAGAGAGACAGCAGAAACTTTAGGAGTGGCCAAATCAACAATTTGGTACATCCTTAAAAAGAAGAAAGGCACTATATATTAAAATAAACCTTATATCTATAATTATATGAGGCTGTCTGATTACTGTTGATCCTATGGAAATGGAGGGACTGTGTGAAATAATTCTGAACAGGTAATATTTTTGTTAAAACCCTGAATTAAAGCTGAAAGTCTACACTTTAATTACATCTTGACTGGCTCGTTTCAAATCCATTGTAGTGGTGTACAGTTACAAAATTAGAAAAACTGTATCACTGTCCAAATAGTTATGGACATGGCTGTATATCAGAAACAGTAACAAAAAGTAAAAAGCAATTTCGAATTAATGGAAATCCAACAAAGTGGAGTCAGACCTAGTGGTTAATGTTAGTTCTTTGTGCTTTTGGCTGCTCGATTTTCGTTTTTCAGTTTTTGACATAATTTGAAAATGGCTGTTACTCTTTACATGGTTTGTCAATTTCATGGTGAATGGACCAAAAGAAATGGCTCAGAATTACTTGGAAAAATGTCTGGTTCCATTGACTTACATTAAAAGTAAAGTATGTTTTTTCCTTCTCCTGTAAAGTTACCATGCTGGAGATACGAGTTTATGTTCCAACGACAGCGATTTACTCAGCCTCACCAGCAGAATTCCATACTGAGGTCACGTTAGGTCAAAACCTGCGATAAATCATTTTTTCATTTGGGTGTTCGAAATACAAATGTATGTCTGTCTGTCTGCCCTGTGATGGACTGGTGACCTGTCCAGGGTGGATGCCTTCCACCCAATGACTGCTGGGATAGGCTCCAGCTTCCCCCGTGACCCAGAAGGATAAGTGGATGTGTGTGTGTGTGTGTGTGTGTGTGTGTGTGTGTGTGTGTGTTTGAAATACAGTGTTCTAAGTTAATAGGAGTGATAAAGAATTTGGATAGCAAGTTAGCCATTACCCTATCGACAACAGCTGACGTAAGCTAACTAACTAGCTAACCTACGTTAGTCTGTTGGTCTTTGCTCCCGATGTTGTAATGTTAAGATAAACTGTTTGTTAATCTCCAGTTATGTAACTAAACTAACCTCTTTTTCTGTCTGTGAAATGCATGGAAATACAGTAACGTTAAATGCATGAATAAATAACGTTAGTTCAGTCAAAAACACTAATGTTGACAGCATTGAATGGAAGTGGACGCAGAAGCCACCAGTTTCAAGAACGTGTATTGTCACGTCATGTCAGCTGACCGGTTTGTATCAGTAATATGGCTGTGATGACAGTTGAGATATCAAGTGAATACTGTGGAAGCTACATTACCTTCGATGCTTTGCGTGAACTGCATGCCTTAATAATAACAGACCTGCCTCAAATAATGTTGATTTATTGAGTAATCTTAAATGCTTTTGTGGTTTTGTGGTTGTGGACAAAAACGAGCAATAACTGGAAGCCATTTTGAGTATTTTGCAGATAATTGTGTAAATTTGCTTTTCGTCTAACTGCACACTGAAAAGCCAGTATGTGTGCTGAGTTGTGTATATTTGAAAAGGGTTTTATGTGTCTATTATGCTTTCAGTTTCATTATGTGAACTTGGTCATCAAACAGCATCGTCCGAGTCTCCCTCTAATTGATTTACTTTCTTCTTTCCTTCTCTCTCTCTCTCAAACACATTTCTCACTCTTTCTCTCTTACACAAACATATTCCTCTCTTTTCCTTTCCCTCTCTGACACACCCTCTCTCTCTCACCTGCTCTCTTTTTTTGTCTTCCCTCTCTCTCTCTCTCTCCCCCTCTCTCCTTCTCTCTCTTTCTCTCAGTTCCCTCTCTCTCATCAGGGTCTCTGAGGAACGACGGTATAAAGGCGGCTGATGTTCTAACAGTTCTGAGGGAAAAGGTCGCCTTCGTCTCAGGTGGGTCCCAGACAGACGGCTGCTCTCTGTAGTGCCGATTATAAATACATTTTATGCAGAGTAAGTCCATGAAGAAATGACTAAGGCTTAAAAAGGAGAAAATGGACAAACAATAACATCATGACTTCAGTCATTAGAGTCCTCATTTGCATATTCCAGCCTTCTGTGATATCAATATTGCAACAGCTGCTATGATGATAACTGTTCAGGTAAGATAGGTAGAAGGTATATTATACCTGTAGTTTGTACAGAAAAGCATTTATTTTTACTATAATTTGGGTCACTGAGTGACTTTAGATATGGAAGGACTCCCTCCCCTCTGAGCCTCAGCGTTCTGCCCATTTTCTCCAGCTCAGTGGTTGATGCTAATCTTTCTGTCTCTCTTTTAGGAGGGAGAGACAAGAGAGGCGGACCCATCCTCACCTTCCCTGCCCGCAGCAACCATGACCGAATAAAGCAAGAGGACCTGCGCAGACTGGTCACCTACCTCTCTACTGTGCCCAGGTTAGCAAAATCCAGTGCAGCTTTACACTTAAATTCAAGGGTTGATATTGCCTACTGCCTTGTGTCTCTGGCCACAGCGTTTCACTAAAAATGCGGAGCCTGTGGCCCGAGTGGCCACTTGCCTTGGAGATTCTTTCCTTTTTTTTTTCTTTTAACAAATCTGTTTGGTTAGAAACTGAACGAATCGCATCAGTTTTTGAATGGCATCGAATTGCAGATTTTGTAAGGCAACACAAAGATAGGTACAAAAAGTAAAAGGAAAGTGCTAAAGATAAAAGACAGTAAAACAGGCAATAAAATGAGGAATTAAAAGAAATAAAAACAGTACTAAGATAAGGTGCAGTGCTAAACAAAGGCACAAGAAAACAAGAACGTTTTTAATCTGGACTTAAAGATGCTACATTGGGAGTTTATTCTAGCAGTTGGCAGCATAATGACTGAATGTTGCCTCGTCCTGTTTGGCTCTGATTCTGGGCAGTATTAGCTGACCGGTCCCTAGCAATCAAAGAGGCCTATTAGGTTCATATACTTCAAGCAGATCAGCAGTTTATTTTGGTCCAAGGCTATTCAGAGATTTATTTACAATTAGAAGCACTTTAAAGTCATTTCTGTAGTTAATTGGTCCAATGCAGTGACTAGGAATGGTAGGAATTAATTAACTGTAATGACCACAATAGCTAAGTTGATGGTGTGCTGGCAAAGATGGCTGTGTTTGTTTTGTGGTTTTTTTTTTCGTTTTTAATATACAACAGGGCTGCACAATAAATCATATTCTTGTCGTTATCGTGATACGAGTTCCCGCGATAAATGAGCTGCAATGGCAGAACAGATCACTGTCACAGTAAATTTATTTAATAACTAAACAAAAAATAAATACATAGATAAAAATATTTATTCATTCTTGTGTGTCTTTATAAAAATAAATTTATATCTGTTTGTTTTTTAAATCTTTATTGAAAAAGCTGTTGAGGTAATGCTGACAGTTTCTCAGCCTTTCAGTGAACGAAAATTGTGCTTGCAGTTCTGCTGTAAGCAGCTCTTAGTATTTCATCTCTCTTTATTTAACAGTTGTGACTGGTGCTTTCGTAATTTAGTGTTTTGCTCCTTTGCTAAAAGGAGAGGATAGTTAGATTTCTGTTTACACAGCCAAAAAAAAACCTGCCTCACGTCCAGAGCTCCCCGTTTTATAGTAACTTATTGCTTCTCATATCGTCACTATGATGTTAAACAGCTTTATAGAACATTGTGTTTCATGTCCATATCGTACAGACCTTATATACGTCTGCATGAGCTGAATTTTCATTCCGAAGTATCTGTCATTATTAACAAAACCACTACTTTTTACGTTTCTTGATAGCTAACAGTAACATGACACCAGTATTCTTATATGTGTAAAGTTTTTTAAAAAATCATTTTCCAAAGCAACACTTGGTTGTTTTTTTTACTGAAGCATGTTTGTTAGATGTAAACACAATAAACATATTTCTGTAATTCTGCTCACAGATTCCTAATTTGGGTTCCCAAGTAGTGCAACCGTCTAAAGGCCTCAGCAGACTTCTTGCGAAACGAAATTCTCGAGGGTTGTGCGAAGCCGAAAGCGCCTTCGCGAGCTTACAAGCTCACATACTTTCTGCAGTTTCGTGTAGCCTGTCGCGGATGGGAAGTTTCATGACTGCTGGAAAACGATTCTTTCACAATGGCGACGTTTGAGTTCAGAATACCTGCCACCATTTAAGGTGGAACAGGAAAATTCGAACAAGAAGCTGGTGAATAGAAATCCAACTTCAGCCTCGTCCTCTTGAGAACCTAAGTATAAGATAACCTATATGTTTTGGTGCTTAATACTAGTTAGTACTAGCAAATAACAGCCTTAACATCATACATTTAGAAAGTATTCATTGTTTATTTAACACATGAGCGTTTCACAGTGAAATATAAGTGTATCTGCCAAAGCTGAAGCTCCTCAAAGTTGTCAATATTTGTTTCATGGCACGCCTCTTTTTTACTGCCAATCAGAGGCTTTGTTGTGTAGGGTCTTCGTCCACAGAGTTCGCCCCGCTGCCATGTGCGCAACAAGGCGAACAAAGCCTCCGCGCGACGTCTGTGGTTGTTCGTTTTCTCCACAATTACGTCATATTGTTCACTGAAGCCAGGCGAATGTCGTTTCCGCAAAAAGTATGCTGAGGCCTTAAGCGTTGGTCCTATCATCAGGAGATCGCAAGGTCGATCCCTGTCGATGCTACAGCCATCCGTGGCTGGGAGTGCCGCTTCACAGGCCTGTGCTAGCTTTCACCCTCCGAGCACTGGTAGGATGGATGTGATTGAGGGAGTCCTAACTAGTGGTTGGAATTGGTTATGTCTAAATTGGGGTGAAAATTGGGAAAAAGTAGGAAAAAAAAATATTAATTTGTGGCAAAATTCTAGGGGCAAGGGTGTACAGATAGAAAGGTTTGTACTTGTCCATTTGGGCCACTAAGCACTGCACTATGCATATAGTATAACATTGATTCATATCATGTACATTTATATCACATATACATTGTAGTTACAAATCAAACCAGAAAAACAGTCAGGAAAGGGAAATATTTATCAGAAACTGTAATAATCTGGTCCACCCTGATGTCATCTGATCTAGGTGATATCATTACATACTGTCTAGACACTGCAGGGCTAGCCTCTCAGTGTAACGGCAGTATATTTAACACCTTATTTTATTTAAGTCCTTTTTTCACAGAGTGATATTAGAAAATGTCACCCAATGGAGCAGCATCTGTGACACCAGGCGGACCAGCTTGGCAGGGGGAACCATTACGGGCACCATATCATCACATTAGCTATCGCAGTGGTTACAGTTAATGAATTCCTACTAAATCAGTTTTGCTAAAAAAGGTTTGTTGAAACATAAATTAATGCAGAAAAATCTCCAAGGCAAGTGGCCACATGCAGGACGGGCTTTGCATTTATAGTGGTCACTGGCCAAAATATGAAATGTTGTGTCCAGGGGTGCTGGGTAAAAGGCAGTGTCAACCCCTTGAAATTGTGCAGGGCAGTGGGTGCCTGGAACTGAAAGGCAGTGGGTCACTGGATTGGAATTGAGAACCATTGATCGTTGCTATCCGTGTGATTTGTCAACCACATTTTACAGCAAGCTGTGTAGACTGGCTCCCTAGAACAGTGTGAAGCAGCAGGTGCTGGGGTGGGATGGTGTGAAGCGGTGTAAAAATTTAAATGAAGAAAATAAAAGAATATTCTGTTGAAGGTGCGGAGCAGCCCAGCAGCTCTCGGTGTTAATTACAGCTGGTCCTTTCCTACTGCTTTTATTTAGGTATTTAGGTATTTCTACCGTTTATAATTGCGATACTCAGTTTCAGTTTAGCTTTCTGGATTGTTGACACTGCTGCAAAGTAGTTTTCCCAGATCACAGCGAGCAAGCATTCATGGATTGCAGGTAAAATGTAAAGACTTCGATGACATGATCTCTTAGGTTTATTGGTCATTCTGGGTCATCCTGGTTCAGCACTTGCATAGCTGCATCGGTACACACCTTTCTTTGCATAAACATTTACTATGTTGGCTACTTAAGAGTTACAGTGGTAAACATTAGAGCAAAGTTGATGAAAGTTTGCTAGTCTTTGAAGTTGCACCTGTGGCCAAGGGCTCAGAGACTTTGAAGAAACTTTGGACTTACTTATAGACATACCTGTACACTTTCTGCATCTTGGTCTCTCTCTCTCTCTCTGTCTCTCTCTTTCTCTCCTTCTCTCTCTCTCTGTTCAGTGAGGACGTCAGCAAACGTGGCTTCACTGTCATCATTGATATGCGTGGCTCTAAATGGGATCTGATCAAGCCGCTTCTGAAGACCCTGCAGGAGGCTTTCCCAGCCGAGATCTGTGTGGCGCTTATTATCAAACCAGACAACTTCTGGCAGAAGCAGAAGACTAACTTTGGCAGTGCCAAATTCACGTTTGAGGTGTGTAAATATGTAAACAAAAAAGCTATATTTGTTCTCCTGCACTTTTCATATTATATGAAGAGACTAGAATTTACTAAGTTGTATATCATATTTTGCTATGCTAACATTACAAACATTAAATTTGACTTTAAAGACATTTCTGTGAGATATTTTAAATCTTCGTAATTGTGAAAATAGCTGAATTCTAATAGGAACTGATAATCACTTATGAAGTGTATCTGTACCATTCCAAATTTAGAAAAAAGTCTGGCTTAAACATTGTGAGTTCGGAGAATATATGCCACATAAAGCTCAATCCGTGGGAAGGGGATTGCTGTCAAATGCACGGAATGAAATAAATCATTGAAAATTGGATTGCACAGCGCATGGTTAGAACACACCAGCATACAGGTTTATGAAATATATCAACAGCAATACGTTTATTAAAAAAGAATGTATTCAGCTGTTGGTTTCCTGTCAGCTGTAGCTACACCCAAGTTTTAATAAAATGTCATATTATAGAAAAACAATGTTTTCTTGTTTTTTTTTAGTGAAAGAGTTTTATGTACTACACACATAGTGATAAAGTTCAGCCCATACAGTCCATGTATGGGACACATTCATATAAGCGCACTCATTCAAACTGCAGCAGTTTTGCCCACCCAGTTCACACTGAAATAGTAAGGAGTGTTGTTACTGCAGACAGACTGTTGCGGAAGTATTTGGAGCATTTGTGTTGTTCCTGGCTAAAGCACATGTCCAGAAGTTGTTGCAGTATACCAGGAGTTTTTGTGAAGTAGCACTTAGTTGTACATGCTTGTAAACAGTAGGGCTCATGCAGTAACAGGGGAGCCAACAGTGTGCTGTATTATTAAGTGAACATGAGAACAGGAAAGTAATCTAGTGAAATTATTTAAAAAAGCAAATAAAATAGAGTAATTCCAAAAAGTTTCTTAGACACTTTCAAGACACAATTAACATAAAACCAGAAAAACATTGTGGTGTTCATGGAAAAAATGAAATACAAAAAAAGTTGTAGATTATTTGCCCTGTAATTATAATAAGCTTTGCTTATGTTTGTCTCAGACCAGCATGGTGTCAGTGGAGGGCCTGACCAAGCTTGTGGACCCATCTCAGCTGACAGCCGACCTGGAGGGCACCCTGGAGTACGATCACGTAGAGTGGACGGAGCTGCGCGTGTCCCTGGAGGAGTTCACAGGTGGTGCTCTGCACCTCCTCTCCCGGCTAGAGGAGCTTCAGGAGATGCTCTCTCGCCAGGAAACGCCCGCTGACTCTGAGGAGGCACGCAGGTTGCTGGAGGAGCACGCCCGGCTCAGGAAGACCATCACAAAGGCCCCGGTGGATGAGCTGGACCGCGAAGGCCAGAGACTGCTGCAGAAGATCCGGGACGGGGGAGATGGGAGGCTGTCCGGGGGGCCTGACTTCCAGAGCCTGGTACCCAGAGTCGCTGCCCTGCTGGACAAGCTGCAGGCCACTCGCCAACACCTGCTGCAAGCCTGGCACAACCGCAAGCAGCAGCTGGACCAGTGCTTTCAGCTACGCCTCTACGAACAGGATGCAGAGAAGGTGAGAACAGGAGGCAGAGATGAAAAGGAGCTGAGAGAACCGAAGGATGAAAGGATTGAAAAGGAGAGGTGAAAGAAAGAGGGAGAGGCTTGTGTAGAAAAGGGTAGAGATGAGATATGATGTGATCACAGTGATGTAATGGTGCTTTAAAGATGCAGTAGCTTTGCATCAGTGTATTAAAGTGATGGTTTGGTGTTAGTCATCCTCAGTGTAGTGATGTCTCTGGGAAAAGAGTGTAAAGCTTCCATTGCTTGTTAGCTACCTTAGCCTTACAGCTCCAGTGCAAAACTAATGAAGTAAACTTCAGACACCAAACGTGTCTTGGCTGATCGACTACATCTGAGGTAATGGGAAAATTGTCTACGTTGTTTTTGCCAGACTACTTCTTTAAGTTAATGTACGCTTGAAGTAATGATGCATAATGTAATAGAACTCCATGGGACAGTAATTGGGTGACTGTAAAATCACAAGTTAAATAGGAAGTCATAATTGTGTAGCAGGGAAATACTGATGTTTAGTTAAGGAGCCAGTTCAGAGTGATGAAATAGTAAGTTAATGAAGCGAGGAATGCTGAGGTATGTCTGCAATTCAGTAATGACGATGTTTCCACTTTGCTCTCCTATGAGGCGGGTTGTGTGAGGGAGACGGTGTGCCGTTTAAGCCCAAACTGAGCTGGAGTCTCACACTCCACAGCCCTGCTGGCACAGTCCATCTGTGCTCTGATATCGCCAGAACACCACTGGGAAGCGGCCTGAGAGAGACAGACGGGAAGAGAGAGAGAGACAGGGAGAAGGAGGAAGAGAGAAGAAAGACTGAAAGAGAGACAGACAGGGAGAGAGAGATACAGACAGGCAGAGAGATCAATAGAGAGGGAGAGAGACAGAAAGACAGAGAAAGAGGAGAGTGTGACAGGTGGAGAAAAGGTAAAAGGAGACAAATGAACTGAACAGAGAAGATGGAGTGGAGAAAGGGAGAGGGAGATAATGAGAGAGCGAGAGACAGGCAGACAGAGACAGAAAGAGAGAGGAGGGTCTGACAGGTGGTGCAAAGGAAAATAGGATGGTAAGAAGAAAAAAATGAACAGAGAAGAGGGGGATGAAGAAAGAGAGAGAGAGGAATGGAGCAGTGAGAAACTGGTGAAAGAATGAGATGGAGAGGGGTTAATAAGAGAGACTCGAGCAATGGAGATGTATAGTAAGCCAGAGAAAGAGAAAGTGGGAGACAGAGAGAGAGAGCAGGAGTGAGTTGTAAGGTTTATATTCAGACTATGAGGAACTAAATTATTTCTTGCCGTGCATCCTCTGTTGAACAAATACGTCCGCTCTCTAGTAAATATTTATGCGGAAACTCGTGTGCTCATTGGTTCGTCCTGGTAATCTCTGGGCTGTGAGGGTCGTTAATCACTATATGTTCATGACTGCTCATAACAGGAAGCACTTTAGACTCAGCTAACTGTGTGTGCTGTCTTTTTCCCTACCTCTCTCTCTCTCTGTCTCACTCCCTGTAGATGTTCGAGTGGATAGGGCACAATAAGGAGCTGTTCCTGCAGACTCACACAGAGATCGGAGTGAGCTACCAGCACGCCACTGACCTGCAAACGCAGCATGACCACTTCGCCATGAACTCCATGGTAGGATCTCTTAAAGTACATCTACGCTTTGCGAGTGTGGAGAGTAATCTAGTTAGTAATCTATAGCTGTGTTTACTTTATCGCTCATATTTGAGCATTTGCAATTTGAGCATTCGCAAATGGCTATCAGAAGAATTTTTTTCTCTTTTTCTGTTTTTCTCTTTTTTTCCTTTATTAATTTTTTGATTTTTACAACATTTTAAATATTCCATAATGAATCAACCAATGAAAAGTTATTTTTGAAGTTGTTTTAACAGTTTTTGCTTCACCCTAAAATTTCCATTTCAGAAGTTTTGAATTTTCTTACGACAGCAGTGAATTGTTTCGAGTTATTACTACAGCTAGATCATTTCACGAGCTGGAATTAGCTAGATTGTTTGATGAGTTAGAAAGAGCTAGATTATTTGCTGAGTTAGAGATAGTTTAATGATTTAATGAGTTAGCTAGATCATATGCTGAGTTAGAGTTAGCTAGATCATATGCTGAGTTAGAGTTAGCTAGATTGTTTTTTTTTAATTATATTTTTACCCAGTTTGCTCCCTAATTTAGTCGTTTCCAATTCCACCCGCTAGTTAGGACTCTGCTCTCTTGGACTCCCAGCTACGGATGGCTGTAGCATCACCAGGGATCGCACTCGTGATCTCCTGATGATAGGGCCAACGCTTAGACGGTTGCGCCACTCGGGAGCGAGTTATCTAGATTGTTTGATAAGTCAAAATTAGCTACATTATTTGGTGATTATGTCAGGTATTTATCTGTTCACACAAAACTGTGTACTTTCCGTACTTGAGCTAGATTGTCAGAAGTGCTGTAGCTGATTGATAACTGTAAGACATTGTAAGGCAGTGCAAGAATGACTTTGAGCCCTTCACTGTTGAAGACTGGCTGGTACTGTATCTAGCTAGTGTTTAATGAACTGTGTTTCCATGTTTCTTTCCTCTCTGCCTGGCTCAGAATGCCTATGTGAACATCACGCGGATCGTGTCAGTGGCCACACGGCTGTGTGAGGCGGGACACTACGCAGCAGATCAGATCCAGCAGGTATCAGCACAGCTGGATCAGGACTGGAAGAGCTTCGCCTCAGCCCTGGAGGAGCGCAGCGCCATCCTGGCCATGTCCTCTGTCTTCCACCAGAAAGCTGAGCAGGTAGTATACATATATGTATATATATATATATACACACACACACATTAGAAAACATTTTTTTAGATACATTTTTATTTGTCAACTAAAGAAGTGACCATACAAAGACCAAAGTCTCATTTTTTCAACACTGTTTGCTACAGTTTAAAGGAACAGTTTGGTGAAAAATCAAATTGACACTTTTCCCTGGACTCTTAATGCAGCAGAACAGCCAAGACATGTTTGGCATCCAGAGATTGCTTCTTTCGTTTTGCTCTAACTTAGAGCTACAAAGTAATGGGTGCTTACATCCCACCAGTTAGCATAGTGCAAACTGCAAGTCTGTGGGAAATATATTGAAAAGAAATAAAACATAAAGTGCAGCCTGAGCAAAAGTTATGGCACATTTTATGCTTTATTTTTTGCAAATAAATAGAAATTGTGCACTAACATTTTAAAATTTCACCACAAAATTTCAGACTTTTCCATTTGACTGTATATGCTAAGAATGTCCTCAGACAGTATGTTGCATCTGGGACACCCCCAGCAGAGACAGTGGACAATTTAGCCTAAAAGGCTTATAAATGCACCAAAATAATCCATTGTTTTAACATTAAAGTGGAACAAAACATTATATGTACATATTATTTTACAAGCTGTTTAAAATTAAATGAGTCCTCTCTAGTTTTCTCTCAGTATTCATTCCTAAACAGCAGTTATCTTTAAAGCATTGCTATCAGCTTACTTATTAATCATTTCTCATATGTGATTGCATTGCCCCTGTTGCCTAGGCCTAATGTTATCTTGTTATTATCACTTATGGGCTTCAAATAGATGATATTTCATTTCTATTGATATTCCTCGTTGCTTTCTTTTCCCAGTAATCATTTATCTAGCTAGCATAGTGAATTGGGTGGCATATCTAATTCACTGTATCCGTGAAAACACACTCCCATTTTGTATGTCCATATTACAGTAACCAAAGCAATTTTGGTCCTCTTTTTCAGTCCGCTGATCTAATAACCTCCCATGGCTAAATGTGCTAACTTGGCTTATTTGGCTCGTTTGATTAATGTTCCCAATTTGTATGAGCTCCTGAACCGCTGTCTGGTTGTGTTCTCCTTTGGTTCTCTTTAATGAGAACATAGCTGTCAAATACTGCCCTCCTCACTGAATTTTCCTCCTTTTTTCTCACACCCATCATGATCATAAATATTTAAGGTAAAGGTAAAGCTTTGCTAATTTTGCCCCCCAGACAAAATCTGTCCTTGAGTGGTACCTCCTGCAGCCTCGGTAAGAAAGTGCTGTTATATGAAAAAGTAGACCCAGTCCAGTAGACCCAACTCCATAAATCCTGAAATAACCAGGGTATGAATAGTGTGAAACTGACCTCAGATCAGACTAATATTTCAGTTTCCAGTAAACGCTGAACTATTACAGACAGTGAGTGTATCACACTTTGGTCTGCTTGGTTTTACTGTTTGTTTTCACATTTTTGTCCCACTTCAACAGTTCCTGTCGGGCGTGGAGAGCTGGACAAAGTCATGCAGTGAGGGTGGGCTGCCCACAGCCATGCAGGAGCTGGAGCTGGCCATCCACAGCCACCAGAATCTCTATGAGCAGGTGACAACAGCTTACACCGAGGTAAGTGTGGCTAACCTGGGCTTGACCCCTGATGCATGTTGTCACAACATCTCTGTGCTGACTCCAAACTATCCTGACTCCTGGCACCTTTCCTCTAGTCATTGTTTTCACGTTTGTCTTGTTTACTTTGCAGACACACCCTTCGATTTTCTTTCGTTATTTTGAAGGATTGGATGGGTTTTTGCCTCTGTGATTCTGAGGCTTCATCCGATTTCCAAGTGCCCTGTGTTCCCTAGTTTCCTTAGTTACTGTTCTTTGTATAATCTATTAGCTGCCATGGTTTTGACCTTGTATTGCTGGTTCCTCGTTTCTTAATTAATACATTGAGACTTTCTGCCTATGATTTGACCTCCTGACCATAACCCTCCCTATGTTATAAATGTTTGCATGGTGGTCAAATGACTCGGCACCAAAGACATTCGATTTATTCCATGAGAGGCAACAACGTCTGTTGATATTTGTCCTTACGCTCGACTCCACGCCTAACTTTCACAAATCCAGCGACCTTTCTTGAAATAAGGAGGGGGCTTAGTCACTAAAGTCAAGTGTTACAGAAGCTGCAGTAGTTGCTGCGGAGACCAGCACTACTGATTAAATATGAAATATATGAAATACATGAAATAAAATCACACCAGTGTTAACCCAGAGTCTAGATATATTATCATTTTGCAACACATTAGATTGACATTGCATAATTATTTTAAAGGAATTTAAAATGCGTAATTTTTACAGGGTTAGGTATGTTCATGGTACATTCTGTATCCTCAGGTCTGAGTCTGTGCTTCCACCTTTTTTCTGCCTATTTTTTGTTCAGTTTAATTAAGAGCGTGGCAAAAATGTAAAGATAATTTTTCTTTCTGCAAAATAAGACTGTAGACAAAGCAATAACTTTTAATCAGATTCAAATTATAAAAAAAACACAAATAAGGTAGAGACTGAACGTTGTTTCAATGAGCTAAAAGTGACAAATAACTCAAGTTTTTGTTATTGCAGGCTAGAACTTCTAAAATTCAGAGGAACTCCTACAAGAAATGATTTTCAGCATGTAGGACTTTTTGAGCAGTAGTGATTCTGCAGTGTATGCATCCCATTTCGGAAACTTAGGAACTGCGTATGTGTTGGATTGCAGGTCAGTCAGAAGGGCAAGACCCTGCTGGACGTGCTGCAGAGGCCGCAGCCAGCTGACTCTGGGTCAGTGACTGCGGGGGCTGATTACAGCCAGGCGGTACGGGGAGTGCTGGACGTAGTTCACGAGGTGGTGCATCAGTACCGCAGGCTGGAGGGCCTTCTGCAGCATCGCAAGCTCCGCCTTCACCAGAGACTGCAGCTGTGTGTGTTCCAACAAGACGTGCAGCAGGTGGGCTACATAAGACACACACATAGTTCAAACTCACGTATCCAGACAAGTGACAAATTAAAGTAAAAAGCTGAAAAAATGGGTAGAGGAACATAACGAGTGCAGACCCTTTCAGACAGATGTACTACATGACAGAGTGTGTGAGTGGAGTGGAGAGCCAGACATTTCAGCTCCTCGCTCAAAGTATCTTGTAATCACTCCTCTCCGGCTCCGCTCCAGGTTTTTCATTTCCTGCTCCTCACACGTGAAAAACTGCTCCATGTCCGCTCCACATGATTCATCATATCATTATGATATTTATTTTATGTTCTGAACGTATGGACAAGAAACTGCACGCTTCATTTTATAAGTTATATAATGTAATATAATATAAAACACTGCATATGAATGGCTGTTGTGTGTGAGCTACAGCAGTCACGCTGCTGTTTCACTCATGTCATGCAGAGGTAGTCAGCCAAGGACTGGCTCATGGAATGGAGCAATATTGGAATGATTTCAGAGTGAGAGAGAAAAGCAGTGCCCCCAGACTTTCTGTAAAGCCACTCTGTGCTCTGGGCAAAATCACGCCTCTCCACTCCCACTCCGCCCCCACTCTGCACCACTCGCATACATGATACAATTAAGCAGTTAATATCCTACCTTACTCTGTGGCATGTATAAAAATGCTGAGCAGGCCTAGTTGATCTCGATGTTGGATCAAGATGGCAAGAGGAAGAGATCTTCAAGTGCTCTCACCTGCCTTGTTTACTGGAGATAAAAGATGTTTCCTTACTTCGGATGCTTTTCTCTTTTTCTAGCAGGATAATCTGCTTTTTCTTGACTTTGGACCATTTTGATAGGTGTGAACACTCCAGTCAAAATGGTCCAAAGTCAAGAAAAAGCAGATTATCCTGCTAGAAAAAGAGAAAAGCATGCTCTGATATTAAATTCCCTCGCTCTCTCGGTGCAGACCATCATAAAAATGCCTTCCCACCAGAAGTGAAATAAACTGGGGTAGCTTATAAAGGGACCGAAACCCAGAGGGAATTTAATACCAGACAATCAGAATCAGATTTATTGGCCAAGTATGTTAGCCCACGCAAGGAATTGGGTTCCGGTAATTGCTGTCTTTTCTAGTATTATATATACAATATAGACAACGTTCATATAATTTACAGACAATGCACAATATACAGCATACACAGTATCAACAATATACAAGTCATATATACATTCTCTGAAGAGAACCGTCAATCTAAAGTACCTGCGCTATTAAGTGTGTATGGTGATGCAAACAGCAGTAATGAATCATATATGAATGAGCATGCCTTTCTCCTCTTCAAGCAGCCTATTAGCACTGTACTGTCTGCATAATCACCCTGTTATGAATTTTGACTCTTTACAGACTCTCACATTCTTCTTGAAGTATGAACTGCTGCTAATAATGACAGATAAGAAATGAAATAATAGCAGAGCATTTAATTTTGTCTGGTGAACCATGGATCATATTTTTGATAGGTTGAGCCAGGCATCAGCAATCTTCATTCATCATGATGGATAAGACTATATATTTTAACAGTAATAGGGATAGTAATAGGAAAAGATCGATTTTGAGTAATAGATCCCGATTTGTACCATGATAGACTAATGAAAATTAAAATAAAAAAGAAAGTTTTTGGCGCTAATGGAGGCAACCGTGAAAATAACAGAGTGCCGGCATCCCAGCCAAATCACAGAACACCCACAAGTGTAATTTGGTGCACTTTAGCCTTACATCAACATGAAACCAACCGAACCAAATGAAACCATACAGTGTCTCAAAAACCCAAACTCTGGTATGGACTTTGGAAAAAGAAGTAGGTGGGAAAACAGCAACAAGTAATTTTGAGTCTTGACTGGGGCACAGATGGCATAGGCTTCAGTCAGAAAACCTGCTCAGTTGGCTGGTGTATCAATAGGAACAGTGACTAAGGGTGTTTTCACATATAGTTCCTTGTTTATTAACCAAATTCAGTTCTGTTAAAGTGGACCTCAAAGACAACCTGCTGCAAATAATCTCAGTGCTTTTTCACAATATAAGTGAACTTTGTAGAGGATTCAGTTTTCTTTCTGGTTCTTTTTTAGCATTGATGAGATCTCAGACCGGTTTTTGTTGACACTATCCCTTTCACACCACTCATGGTATATGCGGTGCTCTCCGTTTGTTAACAAAAGTGGGTGGTGATTTCTGATAAACCTAACCTTTCGGGTAGCGAGAGGAACTACCAGACACGCCTATTCCTCTCCTATAGGCTGTGCCAATACTTGGCCAATGGGCATCATGCAGAAGTGGAAAAATGACCCTGCATGTTTGCAGCAAAATCTCTCACCATGCACCCCATTTAAAAGAGCAGCAGTGAATTTCAATTCATTTAGCATTCAGTGTGAAAGCAGCTTAAAATTCTGTATTGCGAGTGAGCCTAGCATCAGCCTTTAACAAGTTATAATCACACCGGCTCTCGCAAATTATTGCTTTATCATGTCAGCACTGCTGTTTTGTCATGAGGTCACGGTCAGGCTTTATCATGTAGTACCTTATATGAACTATGATAATCCGTTTTCACTTACTGAAGTGCTGGAAGACAGAGTATGTGAGCGGGGAGGAGTGGGAGGGGAGCATCGTGATTTTTGCTCAGAGCGTGGAGCAGCTTTTCAGAAAGTCTGACCGTCAGTGTTTTCTCTTACTCTGAAATCAGTGTGTCCTGCGAACCAGTCTGTTTTTTCCACTCTGCGCTACGGAGACGTACTGCATACTGGAAATTCTCACTGTTCTCAAGTTCTACAGACGTTATATAGTTAGTTTTGTTTCGTCCATTTTGCTGCACAAATGATGAGGAGGATGGTGTTAAAAGCAGATGCATGTGCTTGCAGCCATCGCTTCAAGCTTATACCTTCCAAAAGAAGCCTGTGTAGCACATAATGTTTTCTTGTTTATCATTTAATAATGGTAAAAAAATAGAGAATTGATGAAATAAAAGCGTGTCTTGTCTATACATGCAAGGTATAAAATAAATGTCCTAAGAATGTGTCATATGGAGCAGCCATAGAGCAGTGGTTTCTCTGTCGTGTGAGCGAGGAGCGAGTGAGGAGCAGGAAATAGAAAACCTGGAGCGGAGCTGGAGCAGCATGATTACAGAGCGGGGAGCAGAAATGTCTGCCGCTCCTCTCACACGCTCTGCTGGAAAATGTGTCGTTTATGTACAGTAAGCCTCGAGGTCCTTACCATAAAGCAAAACAAACACTGAACTTGGGGCTGTTTTCTTTTCAAAATGCATAAATCAGTCGGACCACAAAACAAACTACAAACGAACTGTACTAAGACCACCTCGAGTATGATTACGGTATGTTTTTGGGGCTGTTTAGAGGGCTCTGAGTTCATTTGTCGAGTTCTGACATGCACAGAAAACCATGATTCAGCGATCTGAGTTCAGTTCAGATGCTGAACCGGTCCAAATGTAAAAACAGTCTACAGTGACAGTGCCCAGTACATCAATCGCGATCAACCAGTCGTTGATGTCGTTTTGTAACCTACACCAACTCTTTTAGAAAATGAGTGCGAGACCTGGCACAGAGTTTCACAGCGTCAAACTCCAAGTGCATCTGCTTGATTTGCCAAGCAGCTATCGCACTTCCAAGGAAGGGGAATGTTGAGAGGCACTTTTGGACTATACACAGAAACTTTGATGACAAATTCCCAGCTGAAAGTGAACTCAGGAAGAAAAAAGTGGTCCAGACTCCGCAAACCTGGCTGACACTGTTCAGTGCAAATTATCAGAATAAAGTTAGTGCGATTTTTCAGTGGTTTGCCCTGTAATGCTGAATATTAATATAGGCCACTAAAGTGCATTAAAAAAAGTCTCAAAGCTTTTAAAAAGGATGAGGCCAGCCTTTTTTTTTAAGGTAGATCATGATGACCTGTCCACTGGAAAATGTAGATCTCAAGCCACAAAAGTACAGGCACCCCTGATCTATAGAAAAGTCGTCAGTAAATAGGGTTGGAATTGTGCTTGAAAGGAAAAATTTAATAAACGTGATGCTCTGCGTGATGCTCATGTGCTTGATGCTCATGTCATACGTACAGAAAAACAGAAAAGTGACTGTTCCTTACGTGACTGGGCATGTCAGTACAGTAGGTGATGTGTCCGCAAGAACTACATAGAGAGCGATACTATAGTAAATATAGTATATAGAGTGATCCTATAGTAAATCTGCTGTGCATAAATCAGTTATTAAAAAGGCAAAAGCATATTTAATAGTTCTGTGGTGCAAAACCATAAACACTGGTCTGCAGAACTGTGGACAAAAGTGAGCGAGTGCATAAAGAGAACAGTACAGGCCTGAAAGCTTGACTCCTACAGTGAGGGGGCTCACTTATGCCATAGGGAGCCAGTGGCAGGCAAGCTCTGTTTATAGCAAATCTGCTATGAGGCACGGAGCATTTTTTCAACATGTAAACGCAACATTACAGTGTTTGCTTTTGTCCAGCTGGACTTAAATGAACTCTGTAGGTGTTAATTTCGTACTTTAGGTGTTAATTCAACACTGTGGTATTTTCTGTGTACACACACACACACCCACAGAACATTTAGCAGCTGAGAATATTTGCAGAGCAGTCTATTACACAGACCGCAGGAGTCAGCTCTTCACCTGTTTTACAGAATATTAGCTGCTTCATGCAAGAAAACAAGAGCATGCAGGTGTGTGTTAGGCATGTGCCAGTATTCGGTGACAAGGTGCACCTCGATATTCATTGAGCAATATTGTTATTGTGGACAGTTTTGGAAACTGCCCTGCATTTTAGTCAGTCAGTTTACACTTTGACCCCAGATGATTCACAAGCTGCTACTACAATGTCACATTGTGATGATTGTATGGCTGTTTTAGTGTGCTTTTGGTCTGAGCACCCTCACGGCTCAAGGTAAAGCCTGCAGTGCCCTGTGGGAACATGCAAACTATGGCCCAGTTTAAGCTCCCTGACTGAG